TCTATTTTTTGTTTTCCTTCTTTCTTTCTTCCTTTTCCTTTTCTTCGTTTCGTTTTCTTTTTTCTGTTCGTTCTCTCTTTTCTTTTTCTCCTGACTAACGTTTCTCATCACCTTGTTGTTTTATTTGTTGTTGTTGTTGTTGTTGTTGTTCTTATCCTTCTTGTTCCTCTTCTTGTTCTTCTTCCTCTTGTTGTTGTTGTTCTTCTTCTTCTTCTTCTTCTTGTTCCTCTTCTTCTTCTTCTTGTTCTTCTTGTTCTTGTTCTTCTTGTTCTTGTTCTTCTTGTTCCTTTTCTTGTTCTTGTTCTTCTTCTTGTTCCTCTTCTTCTTCTTCTTCTTGTTCCTCTTCTTGTTCTTGTTCTTCTTGTCCTCTTGTTCTTCTTGTTCTTCTTGTTCTTGTTCTTCTTCTTCTTGTTCTTGTTCTTCTTCTTCTTCTTATTAATATTATTCAGTATGTCCGATCAAGTAGTTTTCTTCCTTGTGCGATTTCTATTAGCTTCACTTTTTCTTTTGTTATGGTTGTTTCCTCTTTCTTTTTCTCTTTTTTCTTTTTCTTCTTATTCTACCCCCCCATCATTTCTCTTCATTGTTCTCTACTAGTTCTTCTTTTTCTATTTCATTCTTCTTCTTCTTCTTCTTCTTCTTCTTCTTCTTCTTCTTCTTCTTTTTTGTCATCTTCTTCTTCTGGCTTATGGCCATATCAAGTTGAAATACGGTACGACCACCGATTTTAAGCAATGTCAAGCCTGGTCAGTACCGAGGTGAGTGACAGTTTGGCAATACTAGTTGCTGTGAGCTTGGATGTGTGGCGGGTGTAATGGATAATAACTTGGAATTGGAAATAAGAGAGCCGAGTTCAAATTCCAGTTGGATTCGTTATATTTACTTATGTGCAAATATATTTGGGAAATGTATCAATCCTCTTCTTCTCCTCCAAGCTATGGGTTAATTACTAAGACTTTAACAATAATTATTATTGCAACAAAATTTCTTACAATCTAAAAATATTTTCTGGCTTTGAATAAACCGCAAACGTTTGATAAATTGTGAAAAACAAATCAATCAAATGAAATATTCTTCTTATCCTCCATTTTTTCTTCTTTTTCTTCTTATCCTCCATTTTATCTATTTCTTCTTTTTCTTCTTCTTCAAATCCTTTTTCTTTTTCTTCTCTTCGCTTCTCTTCTTCCTCTTCTTCTGTTATTTCTTCTGTTACTTCTTCATCTTCATCTCTTTCTTCTTCTTTTTCATCTTTTTCATCATCTTCTTCTTCATCTTCTCTTTCCTTTTCTTCTTCTTTCTTCCTCGTCTCCATCATCATCATCATCATCGTTTCCTTCTTCTACATCTTCTTCTATTTCTTCTTTTCCTTCTTCATCTTCTTCTTCTACATCTTCTTTTACTTTTTCATCTTCTCCTTCTTTTTCTTCTTCTTCATCGTCATCTTCAGTTTTTTTCTCTTTCTTTTTCTTCATTTTCTTCTTCAATTTCTCCGTTTTCAATTTCTTCTTTTTCTTCTTCTCTTCAGAAAATCTTTCATGGGTCATCTTTTACGTCCTCATTATTCTCTCTAAAACATTTTTCACCCCCGTTTATTCTCTCCGTCTTTTTTTAATCTTTCGTTATGACTTCTTCGTCCTCTCTTCCTTCACATCTCATTTTTCTCTTTGATTTAATTTTTGTCTGCTTCTTCGCATTCATTCGCCTCCATTTGTCGTTTACTTATCGTCATTTCTCATTCTTTTTTCCAACTGATTTTCATCATCTGTTTTTCTCTGAAGAAAAACTCAAACAATTTCTTTGACTTTCAACTTCACATGCATCTCTTCTTTTCTCTTTTCTTCCGCCTCGCCTCCTCTTCTTTTTTCCTACTTATACTTCATTTTACTTTAAAAGGTTCTACCAACTTTCCTCTCCCCACCACTTCTTTTTCCAAATCCTTTCCCAACACCCACAACTATCAAATCACCGCACCCCATGCCCAGTTATGCTTGTTTCTTCGAATCCATCGCCTTATCTTTCCAGTACTTTTCTGATTGTCTTCACTCACATTTTCTTAGCCGTATTTGCTCAAGGTTAGAAAAACTCAAGGAATACCAAACCTTTCTCGAAAAAACTTTCCTTTTTTTTTAATCTTGATGTTTCTTTATATATTTTTTTTATTTGCTTCATCTCCAATATTGTCTTTTTTATCCAAGGAGGAACATGGAAAAACAAAAAAGACAGAAATATGAGATATAAGCATGACGTTACTCCCCATACATATATATTTTTATCTTTTGAATAGTAAAGATTCAGAATAGAGCTTAACAATTTGGATGGGGTGGGGATGGATGAGGAGAAAATGTGAAAGAAAATGAAAATATGAATGAAAATAAGAAAGTGAAAGGAAGAAGCCCAATGAAGGTGAAGTAATCATAAAGAAAAAAATAGAAATTCATGAAGACGAAATCTGTCTATATCTCTGAGATGAGGTATTATGATTACTTGCATGATTTACATTCTTCGGACTACTATCCTCATCTTCATTGTCATATTCACAACGTTTCGGTCGTTGTACGCTCCGGCCTTCGTCAGGTTATTGGACTTTTTCTTCAATATCTGTCTGTATCTCTGAGATGAGGTATTATGATTACTTGCATTATTTACATTATTTAGACTGCTATCCCCATCTTCATTGCCATATTCACAACGTTTCAGTCGTTGTACGCTCCTGCCTTCTTCGGGTGATTCGAATTTCTCTTCAATATCTGTCTATATGTCTGAGATGAGTTATTATGATTACTTGCATCATTTACATTATTCGGACTGCTATCCTCATTTTTATTGCCATATTCAAAAGGTTTCGAACGTTTACTCTCTGGCCTTCTTCAGATGATTGAAATTTCGAACCGTTACATTCCTCTTCCGGGCGTCTCTGTTACTTCCCTTTAACTCATGCCTCTAAGTTTTATGTTCACCATTGCTGTTACCTGGTATTGATCCAATTCACAACTCTTTTTGTCTCGTCACAGGATCTAAAAACGTCTTTATGCACTGGGCCAAGCGTCCTTGAGGACATCTATATATGAATTTTTGGGACATAAGCCTAATGTTTCAACAACTATTTTTTAACTAGTTCTCATATTGCAATTTTTACTGCATTATTTACCAGAGCTCATATTGCAATTAGTGTTGTTATTCATTGCTTTTCTCTAGCATTCCTTATTACCGGTTCCCATATTGTATTTATTTCTAGATTTGGTCGACTCAGGAGATTTTTGTGGCTTAGCATATGTAAATAATGCAAGTAAAGAGAAGGCGGACAATGAACTGAACTTCCAAACTGAAAATCCTGTTTGTGGCGGCCAGAAACTGGGAGAGTTAATGGAGGAACGATTTAAAGTAATAAAAATTAAGAGAAGTTTGGCTGGGAAAGAAAAAAGAAAGAAAAATTAGAATGGAGAAAGAAAGAAAGCAGGAAAGAAAGAAAATTAGCTGAGCAAGAAAGAAAGAAAGAAAGAAAGAAAAAAGAAAGAAAGAAAGAAAGAAAGAAAGAAAGAAAGAATGTTGCTAGATGAGAAAGAAAGAAAAGAGATAAATTTGGGTTGGATAAAAAAGAAAGAAAGAAAGAAGGAAAGAAAGAAAGATGGAAGGAAGGAATAAAGGAGGGAGGAATAGACTGAAAAAAAGAAAGAAAAGCAACAATGTTACTAGATGAGAAAGAAAGAAAAATGAAGTATTTAGGCTGGAGAAAGAAAGAAAAAAAAGTAAGGAAGGAAGGAAGGAAGGAAGAAAGGAAGGAAGGAAGGAAGGAAGGAAGGAAGGAAGGAAGGAAGGAAGGAAGGAAGGAAGGAATACGCAAAGAAAAAAGAAAGAAAAGTAACAATGTTACTAGAAAGAAAAAAGAAGTATTTATGCTGGATAAATAAATAAATAAATAAATAAAAGAGAGAAAGAAAGAAAGAAAGGGAATTAAGGTAGAAAGAAAAAAGAAACGACAAAATTTTGTTAGATAAGAAGGAAAGGAAGACAAATATAAGAAAGATAAAAGAAATATAAGTAAAACTTGTCGCATTTCGTCCTCTGATGGACTTTATCAAGTCAAATGTAACGATCTTATTTTGCAACAAGTATTTATAAACTGAAGTAAAATGTCGTTAGTTTTTCCGAAAAATTTAAGAAAGCTCATAGATATACATCAGTCTAACTGGAAGTCAATGTAAATTATGGAGGACGATAAGTGAAAGTTTCCGGCTAACATATTATCCTTTTGTATATTATATATATATATATATATATATATATATATATATATATATATATATATATTATTATATTTATTTTTTTAATATGTTTCTATCGGGAGTTTGTATTGAGCACTGTTTTTTTTTTTTTAAATAAAAAAATGCTAAAGAACTCTGGATTATAAACCTGACTGTTCTTTCCTATTATTTGAATTATATATATATATATATATATATATATATATATATATATATATATATATATATATATATATATGGGGGGTGGGGTCCAGTTAACAAAAATGACGTTGCTACAACGTTAGATATCGGTTGAATAAATATTTTTGTCGATTCTCCAGAAAATATCCGGGACGCTGTATTGTAAAGAAGCAAATACTCTGATTAAAACGCCACATTAACAGAAAATGTCGAAAAGTTTTACAAGAAGAAGAAAATATCAAAAAGTATCTTCTCCTGAATCTTTAACATCGTCCAGACCCTCTTCTTACATTAAGTGAAAACAACTGAATTGTCTATTTTACAATCTTTGTTATCAATTAAAAACGTGTTATTCACGTCCGAGTAGTTTATTTTCCGCGAAATCGGTCAAGAGCAATTAATAGCGTAAAAAAATATAAATTTACTTCCTTCCTCCGAAGTTGCCAATGAAGAATATATATATATATATATATATATATATATATATATATATAAACATTGCTTTTTCGAAAGCACAGAATTATTTTTTATTGCCTTACCCGTAATCCTGATGGGCGTATGGCCGTATCGCGTTTAAACACCGGTTCCCGAACGATCACAGAAGTTAATCAACGTTGTGCCTAATCAGTACCTCGATAGGTGACCTCTTGGAAATACCAGGTGCTGTAAGTTGGGATGTGAGTTTGGTGAAATGCTTCATGGCTAGGAATTGTTAATCCGAGAACCGAGTTCCAATCTCTAGTTTATATACACCGACGCGCAAATACCGTTGAAAAAGTATGAATCCACATCTTCGTCCGCCCCAGCTATGGGTTAATTAGTATGACTTTTATCACTAAACCATTGTTATAAAAACTGTTACATTCAAAAAAAAAAAAAATTCTGGCTTTAAATAACCTGCAAAGGGTTGATAAGCTGTGAAAAACGAATCAATCGAAGCAAATCCTCTTCTCCTCCTCATGCTCCTTCTCATGCTCCTCCTATTCCTCCTCATCCTTCTTCTTCTTCTTCTTCTTCATATTTTCATATATTTTCATGAACAATCTTTTGCGTCTTCAATATTCTCGAAAAACCAAGTTCCAAATACAGTCGATTTCGTTACATTCCCTGACGTGAAAATACCCTGCGGAAAGGTATGAATCCATCTCCATTTTCCCCACCAGCTAGGGGTTAATTAGTAAGACTTGTATCACTAAACCATTGTTACAAAAATTGTTGCATTCAAAATATATTTTCTGGCTTTAAATAACTTGCAAAGGTTTGATAAGCTGTGAAAAACGAACCAATCGAAGCAAATCCTCTTCTACTCCTCAAGCTCCTTCTCTTGCTTCTTCTTATACTCCTCCTATTTCTCCTCCTCCTTCTCCTCCTCCTCCTTCTTCTTCTTCTTCTTTCATATAGTTTTCATGAACAATCTTTTTGCGTCTTCATTATTTTCGATTCAAGTTCCAGTTCCAATCAAATTCGTTAGATTCCCTGACGTGAAAATACCCTTGAGAAAAGGTATGAACCCATCTCCATTTTCCCCACCAGCTAGTAAGACTTGTGTCACTAAAACCATTAAAAAAAATAAATGAAATGTGACTACTTCTTTGAACTGGTTGATCACCCTCCTATTCTTCTGATTTGAGCCCATCTGACTATCATCTGTTCACCATCATGAAAAACACTTGGCTAGCAATCATTATCGTAGAGATAAGAATGTCATATCTGATGATGATGGCATTTTGGGTCAACAGAATGAAAGATTCTTAACGACTGTTATCCAAGCACTGCTACATTGATGGATGAAGTATGTGGAACGCAAGTGTAACTATATAATTAACATCATTTAATCACATTCCATGGGACTATCTAGGTCAGACTAGGAACTTTATATAAATCAGTAAGTTATGTGGCATGCGTGATACGCGCTTAGGCGATCATGTATCTTTCGATACATGACTGACGAGGCAGATTTTTCCCGGAGTAGATTGTCATTCTTTCTGCGGTAGACAAGTTGCCATCCAAGGATATAGAACTCGGTCTGTTCTGCTATTTACCCATAGCTGGGAGAAGAAGAAGAGGATTCATACCTTTCCCAAGGCTTCTAAGCAATGTTTACTCAGTTATGTGTCATGCGTGATACGCACTTAGATCTTTCGATACATGGCTGACGAGGCAGATTCTTTCTGTGGTAGATCAGTTGCCATCCAAGGCTGTAGAATTCGGTCTGTGCTGCTATTTACCCATAGCTGGGAGGAGAAGAAGAGGATTCATACCTTTCCCAAGGGTATTAGCACATATGTGCATGTAATGGATTCGACTGCAATTCGAACTCGCTTCTCTGTTATCTCATTTCTCTGCGCCATAAGTTACACCACCCGCACATCCTCTCCAATGAAATGGAGGCAGTAGTAGTAGTAGTAGAGTGTTATTTCAATGAACGAGCAGCCACTCAGTTATGTGCCATGCGTGATAGGCGCTTAGGCGATCATGTATCTTTCGATACATGACTGACGAGGCAGATTTTTCTCGCAGTATGTTGCCATCCTTTCTGTGGTAGACCAGATGTCATCCAAGACTATATAACTCGGTCAGTCGTGCTATTTACCCATAGCTGGTGGGGAGAAGAAGAGGATTCATACCTTTCCCAAGGGTATTAGTATGTAAGTGAATGTAATAGATTCAACTGGAATTCGAACTCGGCTCTCCGATTCCTCAATCCAAGACGCTATAAGTTTTTATTAAAGACAAAATACTGCGATTAAAAGATTTATTTATATTCTTGCATTCGTACAAGTATTTTCCTTCAGAACATACAGTGTGTAAAAGTTGTCCAAATATTCTACATACGAATGCAAGAAAAACTGAAAAGACTTAACCGCTGGAGCTTGAACGTCCTCTTTAATAATACTTATATAAACGATTTTTTTCTGCTCAAAAACAATTATATATACATACATACATGGTAGTTGCCAACTCGTGTCCGAGTACGGCCATCCCTACATATCTTTTGAGAAAATATATACTGATGTGCTGGAAGAATGTCTCTTTAGCCCAGCAAGTGACCTACATACTATGGCACAAACACGGCACTTAAGAGGTCCAACAACGGCTTGTAATTTATCATGCAATTTAAAATATCGCATGAAACCGCTTGTGGGCCCACATATTTTACCACAAATATCATATATCAATTGCTAGACGTCTACGGTTTTTATAGTCAATTGCCGCCTTCCTTCAGTTTCAAGTGACTCCTCAGACCAGCCATCGACAAACACACTCTACCACAATCTGTAAACGTTAGATCGATCTGCCTGCGGGTGTCTTCAGGAAGTTCAACGAGGACGCCTTTAAGCACATCTCTTTTAAGCTTTGCGTGCCTCCATCTTCAAATTGACACCTTCCAATGCAAGTTGACTTTTTAGGCTACGGCCAGATATAATTCTACATTAAGATGACAAGTGTAGAAAAGATCTAATATTAAGCAACACCTGCGCACGAAGCCTTTATAGTGAGCAAAGGCAGTGCACAGAGCAAGTCCCACTCTCTTAATAAAAATGATATTTACCAAAAAGAAGTGCAAGAAGACATCGGTGGATACCATCAAATGCGGCAGGTGTTTTCCTTCTCCTAGATGCCCTGCCTTGACTGAGGCTAAGGGGGACATCTTGCCCGGTGGTTTAATAGGGCTTCAAACACCAGCCTGAGCATTTCTATGTCCCAGCACCATGTCCCACATGACTTCAGTTTGGGCAAGGGGATAACTATTTACCTATAGCTTGGACCCTAACAGCTGCTACCACCAGTATCAGGGTGCCCCTGGGAACAGCAATTAAGAAGTGATTCCATGCTCTTCAAAACCTCCTGATCAGAGGCCTCGCTGTCGGATGTAGATTTTCGTCTCAACCAGGACAACATACATACATACACATATAGGTTGGGAAAGGTGTGAATCCTCTTCTTCTCCCTCCAGCTATGGGTAAATAGCAGGGCAGACTGGGTTCTATAGCCTTGGATGGCAACTGCTCTAGGAGAAGGACAACTCTGAATTCAAAACCTGCGGAGGGTCGTTTGGGGACCTTGTGGCACTTAGTGCACCAGGTCTCTGTATTCGTCCCTTCAAAAAGTGTGGATGGTCCTGCACGGAACCTTCACCACTATAATCAAATCTCTTGTGCTGTTGTCGGGCTGTCGGTTTCCTGGGAACTGATCTGCTTGAGCCTGATACGTCGAATTCGACGGGACAGTCGAATATACAGGTTGTTTCAAAAATACTTTTACAGAGTTGCTCATACGAAAACAAGGACAAACGACAAACATATGCCCGTAAATCCTTCGTTTTGAGGTATTAAGTCTAAAGTTTATGGTAGACGCTCTGCTAATATAGAATGCATTCTTCGTGGTCAGACGGACGTGCGAATCTCGGTCTTCCTCAATCTATAGTTTGTGGTGCCACGGATCCTGTCTAGGCAACGTGACGATAAACAACAGCAATGACTCAGTTGCCTTCAGTCTGGAAACGACATTTGATACAGCGGTACTGCCTCGCGTCCATTACTATTCGCGCGGCAGTATGTAAAAATCATGCCTGCTCACGATATGAAATTTCTATCATTGCTAAACGGAACACTTCTCAGTTAACTCACGACTACACACTTTAAAAGTTGAAGACAGACTAACTATAAATGTACACGAATGACAAATGTAACCTAGTCTACATGGAAATATATATATATATATATATATATATATATATATATATATATATGGACATTTGTCGTTGTTTTTTTGTGAGGGACCTGAACCTAAAATTTGTACAAGTATTTTTATACATCCTGTATATATAGAAAGAGGGAGAGAGAAAAAGAGAGAGAAAGAGAAAAGAGAGAGAAAGAGAAAGAGAGAGAGAAAAAAGAAAGAGAGAGAAAGAGAGAGAGAAAGAGAAAGAGAAAGAGAGAGAGAAAAAAGAGAGAAAGAGAGAGAAAAGTGAGAGAGAGAAAGAGAGAGAGAAAGAGAGAGAGAAAAAGAGAGAGATAAAAAAAGAGAGAAAGAAAGAGAGAGAGAAAGAGAAAGAAAGAAAGAGAGAGAGAGAGAGAGAAAAAAGAGAGAGGAACGTTATTTACTTGTCCGCACTACCAAGACGGGCTGTGACGTCATTTTTGCGTCGTGGGCTCGGACGCATACACATACAAATGGGCCAAGGAGAAAAATATCCCGTCACTGTCATGCTGGCGTCGATATTACAACGACTTCCACCTCTCTTGATGCAATTACGAAGGTGCTGCTGCGGGATTAGAACCCCCTGGATCGAACACATTCGTGTATATGAAATGATGAGAACAGATAATACATTTTAATGCATGGCAAAAGGCCAATAGAGAGAAAGAGAGAGAGAGAGGTGGGGAAAGAGAAAGTTGGAAAGAGATATAGAGAAAAAAAGTAAGTATATAGAAATCAACCTTGCATAGTGTTTGGTATATTCACCTCTTAAGCGACCAACAAAGATAATATTTCAATGATGCTTTAATGGCTGAAACAGCAGACACATATTGATTTTTATAACGACATTGTTTATATCTGTGTATTTTCTATCCACAATAATGAGCCCTCTTTTTTCCATAAGTCCAACAAATTTTAATTTTCGTAAATATACAAAGTGCGATGAATAAATTGTAGTCACAATTACGCAAAAATGAAAATAACACTGACATCTCATTTTAACAGATATATTTACCAAAATATCACAAAAATATCTTGAGATATAATAGAGTAAATTTATTCAATAAAATCGCCATTAGCTTCATTAGTATTCCTCACGCAAAATCATTTTACGATTGCTAGCAATGCCTGTGAAAGACGGAAATTTCTCTGAAATATGATGGAAGTTTGCGAATTATTCATTGGAAAAAAACAAAATATGAACAACCATTATATAGGGGAATGTCGAATATAAAAAAAAGTAAAGACTCATATTAAATACTGTTAAATATAAAATGTTCGTAGGTCAGGGTAAGTCTGATACTTGAAAAAAAATCTTAACCGGATATCTTGTGGAAGAAACGATTCCCGAATAAAGTACTCGTGTGTACCAAATACAAGAGTCGACAAGATTGACCTATCCTAAAAAAATCTTGGCATTGAGGTGTTGATATGCCGTAAAACAAACCAAAGAAAGGAAATTGAGAGCAGAGATGATACCTACGTCTTTAAATGATCATAGCCCTCCCTCTTTTCTTCCATTTTCCGAAATAAATTCTAATCCTTTATATCTTTAAAAAATGTTTGTCTGCTTACTGCCATTTCTTGTTCCTGTCGTATCAGCAATTTAAACTAACTCATCGGTGCGTTACTCAATGGTTCCTTTTGTCTTCAATATTTCCTGTGCGTGTCAAATTCTCTAAGCCCTCATTCTTTATTATTTATCTCAGAGATTTCAACTTTTTCTGTCTGATTCTAAACACGAGTGTCATTTTGATTCCCGTTTTTCTTTTAAAATTCCTCGTTGTTTAACTAATTCATTCATAGAATTTCCAGCATCCGCCTGGAGAATTACATGTCTGTCGTCTCTGGTCTATTGTTCATCTTTGAAGAAATTGCCCAGTATTCACTGGCATATAGTAGGATAATATTGCATAGGCGTTTGGCAATCTTTTCTTTGATTCTAACGCACTTGTTTTCTCTTTCTTAATACTTCGCTTAGCATCTGAAAAAACATCTTTCAATATTTCAATGATCAGTTTTGTATCATTTTTCCATTGTTTATTACAACAGTATTATTTTGTTTTGTTTTACGGAATATCAACACCGTAATGGGTTATTTAAAGCCGAGAAGATTTCTATTGTTGGTAATTTTTTTTTTCAAGGATGTATTGCCACTAATATATTTTTTTCCAATAAAGTATTGCTGGTAATATTTTTTCTTCAAAAATTTATTACTGGTAATTTTTACAAAATTGTATAGCTGGTATTAAAATCTATTTTTACTCTGTCATAATGTTTTGACTCCAGTTTGGGGTTATCTATTTGTTAATAGTTGGTACACTAACAAGTGCTACCACCCCAGATCAGAGTGGACTTGGCAACACCAGTAATTAAGAGGTGGTTCCACGCTGCTCAATATCTGATCAGAGGCTTTGCTTTTGGTCGTACTTTATCGTCTTACCCAGGACGTGGATGTACTTTATCATCTTACGTGCAACACTTCAAAGATCATTAAATGCCTGTACTTACTTGATTCTGTTGTACAATTGAAGTTTGTTTGTTCTTCTGGATTTCTTTTACTACATTGTCTAGAAGCTCCTTAATGTGTTTTTTTTCTGTATGTCTGCCATTAACCCCAATGTTATTTTCATATCTTATTTTGTTAAGATTGTGGCTGCCAACAATAAATCCCGGTAGGTCTTTTAGCACTCTTAGGATTACGTCGCTATAAAGATTAAATAAATCCGGCGAGACGACACTACATTGTCTTAAGCCTTTTTCTTTTGCAAACGAAGAAATACGTGCTGGATTTCTATGTGTTATCCATCTTCTTATATGTCAGTGAATGCTGGACATTCTCCCCAATTTCGAGGAGAAAATTACAACCAATAGAAATATCATTCTATAGAATGGTACTGAGAATTTAATGGATGGAGCAAATAAGCAACAAGTAGGTGACAAGAAAAAGGCAACAGAAAATCATCATCATCCTCATCATAATCATCGTCCCTTTTGAGTTTTGTAATCGCAGGGAGATCCGAATGCAGAAGCCATATTGAATCTCCTCCATAGCGGTCTATCAACGGCAACCAGCAGCAAATCTGGTATAGTCATATTTGTCCATTGTTTGACATTGTCTAAACATTTTTTGAGTTGACGTCCTCCCCTACGTCCACCTTCAACGTTGCCTTGCATGATGGTCTTGCACAGGCTTTTGCGCCTTTTAACGTGTCGAAACCACGCCATTTTTCTCCGTTTAACAGTGGCGAGAATAGGTTTCTGGTGGCCCACAAAACTCGCAATCCTTTTCTGCGCAAATTCATTGGTTTTATGTTCCCAATAGAAAATGGCAAGGAGTTTTCTCATGCATCTGTCCTCAACCGCTTGAATCCAAAAAGAAAGAACACGAAATCAGGAAAAGACAGCTGAAATTCCTTAGACGCATAGTGAAGAAGGAGGGCTTAAGAATCTTAAACCTCGCGGAGTATACTGAGAACAGTCGCGAGAGGGGAAGAGAGCGAGCTACTCGCCTGACAAGCTTGTGTGAATGGATGGCAAAAAGGAGGCGCGTATCCAAGAGAGAAAAACTGCTAAGATCCACACGAGATCGGAAGTTGTGGAGAGCCTCAAACGCCTATGTTCGGAAGTACTTGCTAATTTCATTATCTATTCGCGTGTAGAATAGTTTGTTCTCAGTAAATTAAATGTTCCGGATTATGACATATTAAAAAAAAGTTTACAGAATCAGAGGACGAGTCGTCTTGTTTCAACACATGATTACGATGGGGATGAAGCCGAGTTAAAATAGTGGTAGTGATTTCAATGGCGTCTGATAGTGGGGGTGGCGGTTACTACTGGGGCTTGCGGGGACGGGCGGCAGCGAAAGAAAATGTGGGTAGGGTTAGGGGTGCCATATAAGGGTACATCTCCCGTTCATCAGTTTGCTACCATCTGATTCTGCCTCTGGGTCCCAGGAGTATCTTTGATAACACCTACCCATCTCCTCCGCTTCTAATGCTGTTGTTACTAAGGCGGCGGCGGCGGCCCACCATCCACGTATATTTTGCTCCTCTCTAGATTAAATATGATTCTCGACCCTTTCCGCTCCCCATTTTAGAAGGGGAAACATAAGTAGAGAAATAAGTATACAGTCTTGCAGGATATCGTCATAGAATGATTGTATAGATACAGTGGTAACCCCCACCTCATTCTTTCTCTCTCTCTCTCTCTCTCTCTCTCTCACACACAGACACACACATATTTGAAATTATCCTTAGAAATTTAGGTAATCATGGTCCTCCACAGCTTCATTTCTTTTATTTATTTCAACAATATAATCGTATCGGGTACACAATTAGAAAGAAAGAAAAATGAAGTAAAATGAGTAAAAAATAAAAAAAAGAGAAATAAACAAATAAGAATAAACTAAAAAAAGAAAGAACATATAAATAAGTTAAGATGGTGGTCATGGTTCTCCATAGCTTCCTTACTTTAACTGCTATCAACAATATAGTTTCTTCCTGACCTTCCAGAAGATACTAGGAGACAGAAATAATAACGGAGGAAAAGTTAAAAAAAATAAAACTTCCGATTCACACTTTTTCTCGGTCTTTCGTTTAGGATCGAGTTTCTGGTTCCTTCTGAAGTCTTTTCATTTTCTTTCACTCCCAATAGACCCCACCCCTTGCGTCTTAGTGGCATTATCGCCTTGGTATATAAAAAAAAAACTTTGAAATAAACAAATAAGGAGAAGCTGAAAATGATGTGTCAATAAATTAAAAAGCAGAAGCATATAGCAATGAAAGAAAGAAATAGTGAAAGAATATGAAAGAAAAGGGTGCAACAAAGCATGGACAAAAGAAGTATAGAATATATAAAGAAAGAAAGAAAGAAAGAATGGATGAATGAAAAAGAAAGAAAGAAAAATGACGAAACAAAAAAGAAAGAAAGAAAGATCGAAACAGAAAAAAAGAATGAGAGAAAGAAAGAAAAAAGGAAGAAAGAAAAGAAGGAAGAAAGAGAGAGAGAGAGACAAAGAAAGGAAGAAATAAATATGGAATGAAAGTACAAAATAAAAAAAGAAGGAAGGAAAGAATAAATAAATAAATAAGTAAAGAAAAAATAAAGAAAGAAAGAAAAAGAAAGAAATAAAAAGAAAGAAGGAATGAGAGAAAGAAAGAAAGAAAGAAAAAGGAAGGAAGAAAGAGATTGATAGAGAAACAAAGAAAGGAAGAAATAAATAAAGGCTGTAAGTACGAAAGAAAGAAAGAAAGAATGAAGGAAAGAAAGGAATAAAGAAAGAAAGAAAGAAAGAAAGAAAGAAGAAAAGAAAGATAAAGAAAGAATTAAGAAGTGATCAAGTAAGAGTGATAAATATAATGAACAGGCCGCGTAACAAGAAGAAAACATTAAAAGCAAAAAGAAATGAAAAATGGAAGACATTTAATGAAAATAGAAAAACGGCAAAGATAACGAACAGAAAGAAAGAAGAAAGAGAAAAAGCAAAAAGAAAATAAAAGAAAGGGAATGAAGAAAGCAAAATGGCGGAACTGAAAGAAAGAAAGAAAAAAATAACGGAAAGGACATAAAAAGAAAGAAAGAAAAATAAATATGTTGAATAGGCTGATTAGAAAGAAAGAAGAAAACAAAGAAAGAAAGAAAGAAAGAAAGAAAGAAAGAAAGAAAAGAAAGAAAGAAAAATCTAAAAGTAAAAGAAAAAAGACAGAAATAACAATCAAAGGGTTAATATATGAAACTGACTGAAAGGAAAAAGTAACCAGGAGAACGAATAGAACGAAGAAACGAAAGAAAGAACGAACAAGAAAAGGAAGAAATTAAAAGTCTAATGTAGAAATCTGAATGAAAGAAAGAATAAATGCCAAGGAGAACAAAATAATTAAATGGAAATGAAGAAAAAATAAAGAATATATTGAACAGGCTGTGTAGAAAGAAAGAAAGAAAGAAAGAAAGAAAGAAAGAAAGAAAGAAAGAAAGAAAGAAAGAACAAGTAAAAGAATAAAGACAGAATGAAATAGCAAAGGGCTAATATATGAACAGAGTGAAAGAAAAAAGAAGCCTAGAGAAAGACTAGGAGAAACAAATGAACAAAAGAAAGAAAGAAAGAATGAATGGATAAAAAAGAAAGAAAGAACGAAAGAAAGACATAGAAAAGGAAGGAAACGCATGGTTAAACGGAATGAAAGAAATAATAAATGTGAAGGAGAACGAAATAATCTAAGTGAAAAGGAAGGAAATAATAAAGAATATGTGGCACATGTAGAAAGAAAGAAAGAAAAAAGAAAGAAAATAGAAAGAAAATAGAAAGAATTAAAGAAAGTAGAAAAGAAAAAAAATAAAGAAAATAGAAAGAAAGAAAGAAAGAAAGAAAGAAAAAGTGACATAAAATAGAAAAGCATAAAGAAAAAGAAAATCAAAATACTAAAAATGTAGGGAAAGGAACTTTTACAAGATGAAGCTTCAAGAAAAATGGAAGTCTTAAAAAACACATGAAGGAAGGAAAAGCTATCGTCTGCCTCCTTTCCCAAAAACCTATTAGTGACAGAACGTCTGTTAGTATTTCGGCTTAGAAAGGCGAGGTACCAAAATCTTTGGAGAATTAACAGTGAGTGAGCAAAACTATAAAAAAATGTAATGGAAGAATTCTTTTGCCTCTACCTTTCCCTGAAGACTCAACTCACTTTTAATCATTCACTCACTCTTTCGTCTTTCCCCTGATTTCATTCTTCTTATCGCCATTTTGAAATGCGTCATTTTTGTCTTGAATCTGGTACAATTTCGTTCAGTTACGATTTTCTCTCTCTTTTCGAGTTACGATACTCAGCTTTAGATTATGCATGGCCGTTTGGTAAAGCACGTCACAAAGAACTGTTGGAACAGCTAACCTTGATATATTAGGGAAGGTTATTAGAAGAATTCAGAATCTATACTGGGAGCATACCGCCTGTATGCGGATTGAAAATGAATTCGGTAAATCAATAAAAAAATACAGAGGGGTGTAAGACAAAGATGTGTCTTCTCACCAGATTTCTTCAACCTCTACAGTGAGGCTATCCTCGAGGGGATAGAGATCCTAACTTTGACAACGTAAGATGCGCAGGCGCACTGAGTTGATGGTAAACACGGAAGGACAACTACTGGACCTCTTAAACAAGGTACTAAAGGAAAGAGAGAAGAATGGAATAACTATATGATATGAATGTCGGGCATTGAATCAATAGCTTCATCTACCGCAAGGAAAGTTGTTAATCTGTCTCATGCCAGAAGGTTTTTCTCCCCTGAGTACATCCTTCAAATCTACAAATCAACCGTTCTTCATTTGAATACTGTTGCCATATATGGTCTGGCGCTCCTGCTGTTCGTCTCGATGTCCTCGACAAAATCCAGAGACAGATATGCAATGTGATTGGTCTTGATCTGGTATCTCGTCTACAATAACTTTCTCATAGACGTGATGTGGCTTCCCTCTGTCTTTTCTACAAATATTTTCATGGCAACTGCTCTGACGAGCTATTTTCACTATTGCCCCAACTGCCCGAATTTAAGCGTGCTGCTAGGTGGGCACCTCAGTCCTACTCTTTTGCTGTCGATACGGGGAAATATAGCCGTCTCTTCTACTCCAACAGCTTCTTCTCGACTGTGGAACTCCCTTCCTCTTACTTTATTCTTTGATAACTATAATCTTCAAATATTTAAATGTAATATCAATCGACATCTTCTGATGCCTTGATCCTGATCCCTGTCCTTCTCTCTCTCTCTCTCTCTCTCTCTATATATATATATATATATATATATATATATATATATATATATATATATATATATATATTTACTCTTGCTTTCACTTTCTCTAATACCTTGCGTGCTAATGGCACTTCGCCCTTGCCTGGGGTAAGAAAAAAAAATAAAAGAAACAGAAAAAAAACCAATATGTGATATTTCGAATTGGACATATCAAAATCAAATAATTACTGAAGGTTAAATATCTGAGAAATGTAACACCGAAATCCGAAGACACATTGGAAGTAGCAAAGGTGGAACCCCCACCAAAAAAAAATAAAAAATAAACAAAATCCTAAGAAACAGGATAATTTTGTTAGAAACGAAAAAGTGTCGAACTGTGGCACATCTAATAACCTATACGACAGTAAATGCTGGACAAAGAGACGAAGAGTAGACTTGGGGCAACAGAAATGTGGTTCTACAGAAGGATACTGAGAATACGGTAGACAAGACCAGTGAGCAATGAGGAAGTTTTAAGAACAATGGAAACGGTGACATCACTAAATTTAGAATCAGAAAGAGTTGAATGTTCTGGGGAGAATAAGGAGAACAGAAGACTTTGATACGCACAGGATATATTTTAAAGACAAATGCTACAGAGTGAACCAGCCTGTAACGTACCTAACGATATTGTGTAGATGGCAGGCAGGACAGGTTGTAGGAAGGATAGTGAAAAAAAATGTCTTTTATTTTATTCGTCTTTGAGATTTTTTCTTTCATTCAGTTTTATATTTTACCCCTTTTTTCTTTCCTTTTTCTTTCTTTCTTTGCATTTGTTCTCTTTTTTTTTTCTTTCGTCATTTTTCTATGTTATTACTTTTAATCTTTAGAACTATAAATGATATAAAGATACTTGGTTTTCCTGAGGATACTACGAAAGCCAACAGAAAAATTCTTGTCCTTTGCTAGTCAACTAATTAAACAGGACTTGCCTACTTGCTTTAAAAATAAAATTTAAAAAAAAAACGCAGTGATATAAAACATCTAATAAACCGTGGTATCTCTTAAATATATATTTACTGATTATCTGGGAATGTTCTTTGTTAGATAATTAATATAAAACAGAAATGACTCCTTGTCGGACGCCTACAGTGATGTTATGGGCTTTAAAGGACTGGCTCTTAACAACAACCTTCACGGACTTAGTCGATAGGAGAGATTTGATAACTGAGAAAACTCTTACAGAAATGGCATAGATGGAGATAAATTGTGTAACACCGTAGGCCAAACCTTGTTAAAAATCATTCGAGTTAACTAAGACCAGCATTCATCATGGATTTATTATAAAGCGCTTCACTGATTTTATGCGTTAAGACATCAGCAATGGACCTAGAAAAATGAAATCTATACTGTTTGTCGCGATATTCTATTGAAGTGATTGACAACCATTTTATATTTAATTTGTTTCTCAAACAATTTTTAAGATATGTTATTATTATTATTATTTTAGCGCGTATTATACGTACTTTTTTTTTACAGAATCTTACTTCAAATCATATTTTTTTCTATACGTATACAAATGACCATCTATGACCCTCTCTTATTATTAAGAGTGTAAACTGTTATGTAATATCAGTCCTCTTCTATAGCAATGACTGATGAAAAATTTCCTCACAGATGAATAAGAAAATTGAAGCAACGGTGATGTGTGTCTACAGAAGTTTGATGAGGACAATACGGACAGAACTTATGAGTAAGGCGTAGTTTTGAAGGAAAATGAAAACAAAACTGACGCTTTTACCAATCATAAAAGAGACAGCTGAACTCTCTAGGGCACATGATGAGGAAAGAAGGCTTGGAGAATTTGGCACCAAGTGGACATTGTGAAGGCAATAATAACAGAAGGGAATAATGAGAGGCCTGACTGTCGAGGTTGTGTAAATGGATCTCAGAACAGGGGGTGGGAGGTGTAGTAAAATAAAATAAAGAATTACTAAGTGCTAAAAAAGGTAAGTAGTGCTGGGACATGATCGTCCACAACCGGAAGGGACACGGAAGAAATGTGTCAAAAGTATTTTTCCTTTTATATAGAACTTTACACCAGAGCTTATGGCATAGACGTATTACAAGACTATGACTCCGTTTATGAATTCTTCTTTTCGTTATTATTATTATTATTATTTCCTTTGATTTCTGTTGTATAGACATTCCCTTCCTGGTCCCAACCAGAGATCTAAGGACAGAAATAGATTCATGACATTTTCCACTGATCATTTTTTAAGAAAAAACAAAGATTACAGACATTTTACACGGATAAAGCTCTTCATAATGTGAAACTATAGTTGTGAATACAATCTTTAAGGCATTGGCAACCAGGGATTCTATCAATGAGTCTATCAGAATCTTTTCCAATCAATCTGACGGTTTCCAACTAGAATAATTTATCTCTTAATGTGCTACATTTTTGAGATTTTCACTTCAAGTTCCTTGTGTTTTGATGGTTTTTTTTTTTAAGATCTTCAAAGATACATTATAATCTGCAGTGACTTCCACGTCACTAAGAAAGCGTATTCTGTTCTTATGATCTCTGATCACAATGTCTGCGTGATTAATATTGATTGTTCTGTCGGTGTGTATTGTAATGTCCCATAAAATTGTTACAGTTTCTATCTCTGAAACCGGGTCCTGGTGATGATTTTACCAGTGTCTTGCAGTTTCATTCCTGTAAAAGTTGCATATTTTCCGGTGCAGATATTGGCCCACACTATCAGTTGGCACTAACACCGTGCAACCTAATACAATATGGTCAATTGTTTCTGGATATTTATCACAGAATCTGCATTTGGGTCCAGCACAATTTTTCAGTATGTGTACTTGGTAATTTCTAGGTAGCAAGCATTGGTCCTGTGCAGTAAGAATAAAACCTTCGATTTCAGCGTTTAACCCGGCACTATGTATTATTATTATTATTATTATTATATATTCTTCTTCTTACTATTATTATTATTATTATATCTTATTATTCTTATTATATCATACTATTATTACGATAGCCTCTTATATATAATTATTATTATGATATCTTATTATTATGATATCTTATTATTATGATATCTCATTATTATATCTTCTTTTTCTTCTTATTATATCTTATTATTATTATATATTATTATTATCATATCTTCTTATTCTTCTTATTGTTATATCTTATTATTTTTATTATATCTTATTATTATTATTATACCTTATGATTATTCTTATTATATCTTCTTATTATTATATCTTATTACTTGTATTATTATTATTAATATTATTATTATTTCCTTTGATTTCTGGCGTTTAGACATTTCTTTCCGGGTCCCGCCCAGGGACCTAAGATTAGAAATGGCATCATGTCTCTTTCCACTGACAAAAAAAAAAAAAAAAAATTACATATATAAAGCCCTTCGTAAAGTGTGAGCTGTACTTGTCAGAACATTTTTTTGTATCTCTTTGAGACATTGGCTTCCAGGAATCCCTTCAATTAGTCTACTGCAATCTTTTCCAACCAGTCCTAGGGCTCCAACTACTACTGTTGATGTTCCCATATGCCACATTTTCGAGATTTCTATTTCAAGGTCCTTGTATTTTGACAGCTTTTTGAATATCTTCAAAGATACATTGCAGTCTGTAGGGACTGCCATATCAACAAGGAGGCACTTTTTTGTTTGTGGTCTTTA